TCTTGCTCCCAAGGAACCAGATTCTTCTGGATAATGCCTGGCAGGCGTTCTGCAGTGGCTGACACTAAGCAAGTGCTCAATAAAACTTACAGGGATAAGAATATAGGCTTGAATGGGATGGTGGGTGGGACAGGCTTGTTCTGAAAGAGGAGTTCCCTTCAGCGCTACTCTCTGCCACTGCCGACAGTGGTACAGCCCCCTGGCCCAGGAGGACACAAGGTCCTTTTGGCCTCAGCCCTGTGGTTTTGGGCACCGAGCAGTTGCCAGTCGGTCTAAGCTACCTCCTCAAAGCTAGCAGAATTCTCTGCCTCAAGCTTAGACTGTGGAGGCAGCTGAGGGAGCCCTGGGTCTCGTCACATGGCCCTGCCTTGCTGCTCGGTCCCCCTCAGCCGCACTGCCTCAGCTCAGCCCCACCCAGTCCCTGACACTGTCCCTGGGCCAGGCCTGCCCTGGAGGCTCTCCCAGCTGTCCTGATGTCCCCTCTGGCTTCTGCAGACACTCCCCCTTCCACCCCTGGAGGCCTCAGCTGGACACCAGCCCCTCCCCCTCCAGAGGTGTCCCCAGACTTCACCCCTGGGCTATTCTTTTTTCCTGACTATTGCGGTATCAGATGTCAACCAAGCTCTGCTGGGCACCAGCAGGTGGGCGTGGTTCTTGATAACTGAGCGGTAAGGGGAGTGTTTCCTCCAGGCCCCCACAAGAGGCTAGGAACCGCTGGCCCTGGAATGGCTCTGCTCCCAACCCACTGTGCTGTCTTGACCAAACCCCTTCCTCCACAGACTTCAGCTTCTCTGAGCCATTAAGGGCGGGCAGCCTTCTCTGCCTTCACCCACGGGATGACGATCAGGGACACAGGAAAAGTCCTCTGGGGACTAGGAAAATGCTGAGCAAGTGGCAGTGGGCTCACCCAGAGCTGATTGTCTTCTAGGTGGGCTCTGGAAGGGTGCTCTCAGGGGATGCAGAGCAGCTCAGCCCTTCAGACCTCAGAGAAGCCTGTCCTTTGTCCTCACTTGCCCCGAGTGAGCCGGGACAGCTGGCACTGCTCGCTGGGGAAGCGGGCTCTGGCGGGCCCTGACAGCTCAGCAGTGGCAGCGGCGGAGGTGGCGGTGGCCACAGCGGCAGGGGCTATTCTGAGAGCTGGGAGGGGCTGGGGAGCTGAGACTGGAGGAGGGAAGCAGCCAGGAGGACAGAGTCCTATGAGGGTGAGGGGAGTGTCACCGCATGGCCAGGGATGGGGTGTCTGCCGGCAGTGTGACTGGGAGAGCTGCATAGCGCGTGCTTGTCACTGGGAGGGCTAGACTCCTGAGGTATTGAGGCATGCCCTGGGATTGTTTGGGTGAATGTGCACAAGTCTTGTGATCCAAGTATTCGCTGACTGGGGAAAGCATGCGCCTGTTAAGTATGTGAGTGAGCCAGTGCGTGTGCACTGAGTGCGTTAAGCACAAGGGAAGGTGTGAGCAGAAGCCAATGTGCCTGTGTGTGGAAGTTGGAGGAAAGTGAGGGTGAGCAAGTGGGGGCTTGTTTGTGAGCAGGAATGAATGTGGGAGTGGCAGGGAGGGTAACTAGGAGCTAGAGAGCAGCTGTGAGGGAAGGGAGGGGAGTGGGAGAGACCTGGGGTTGGAACCTTAGGAAGGTGTGGGTCTGCATAATCGGGACACAAGTGTAAGGGACATAGGCAAGTGTGCATATAAGTGAGCCCAAGTGTGTGAATGGATGCTGGTGTGTGCCTGGTGAGAGCAGGTGGGATAGTGCGACTTAGGACAGGTAGGAAGGGAAGATATGTAGGGGCAACCCCAGCAGTAGGAAAAACAGCTAGGGCTGCGCACTTACTCTGAGCCTGATGTTGACATTCACGATCTTACTGAATGCTTTAAATAGCCTCTGAAGTTCGTGCTATAGATGATGATGCTCGTTTATAAATTAGGAAATAGTGGCTTTGGGCAGTTAAGTAACTTGTCCATATGGTTAATCAGTACGTTATACTGCCTTGTAATGAACGTGTGAGCAGGGACCAAGTTGTGAGTAAAGAAAAATGAATGTCAGTATGCATGGTAGGCGACTGTGTGTATGTGTGTGTGTGTAGGAACGGGGGGGCCAGCGTGGGTCCCAGAAGAGAGTTCAGGCAGCAGCTGTGGACACTGGGTGGGGCAGGGGCCGGAGCGGAGCCTGAGTCAGCCTCTAGGGCGTCTCTGCCAACCTGGCTTCCCAGCCCCGCAGTGGTAGCCTGTGCCAGGGCCCCCAGCTAAGGATCCTCCCAGCTCTGGTATGGCCCCCAACAGGCCCCATCTCAAGGAGCAGGCTGGGTCAGGGCTGAA